CTGTGACATTCACAAGTCCGTGGGGCCTCCGAGGGCACAGCAGAACTTCGGTAATATGGAATAGACGTTTAAACAAGACTCATCCCATCTGTGAAACGCCCACCCTACTCGCCGAATCTTAACCCAATGAACTACTGGTTGTGGTCGATTTTGGCGGCCAGAGCATATGCTAAGCATCAAAAAAGTTTGGAACAATCACTGCGTCGGAAATGGGACCGATTGTCTTCAGAAAAGTCACTGACTTCTCAAATTGTCTTATAGTATAACTTCGTGACGTCGCAAAGTGAATAACTATTCATCTTAGGTATAGTTATATTTAAAAATGTTTATTATTATTTGATCTCTCGACCAAGTCGAAGTTTAAAGTAGTAAAAAATTGTGCAAGAACCGAAGAGCTATTTTTTAAGTCTTTATGTAGGTTTATCGCTTAAAAACGGATTCCACTTAAAATCTTTATTTTAATATTATTCGATTAAATGACCTAACCTATAAAAATTACTATCACCACTAAATTCAGCGTACCCGAATTGACAGGCTTGTTCTAAATAAAACAGTTTAATTTTCATGTAACTAATTACCCTGCAGAATATCGGGTCAGACTAAGAGTACTCAATAAACTATACCTAAATTCTTGTTACCCGTTACAAAATTTGGATCAAACACACCTATTTAATTTTAGGATTTTGTGTGCTAGGCTGCGACCAATTATTCCTTTCTGCATATTATTGAAACCAGAAACGGTTCAAACATAATCAAAACAAAGAATAAGTTAATACATTGTGCATTAAATTTCTGTGGACATTTGAAAGAACAACTTAATATGGGCGACAAACGGGCTCACTTATTTGAATAAACACCCCCCCAGCCGAACAAATGCACGAAATTTTTGGGAATTAACTCAGATCAAGGGAATTTTCGATAAAACCCAGGCCAGTTGTTGTTTTTTGTACAAGTAAGCAAACAAAGCAAGCGAGTTTGGCGTCCGAAGTAGGCGAGTGGTAAGAGTTCCTTGCTACAAGTCTGTAGGTGCCAAATTCGATCCTCGGTAGGAGCGACTGTAAAATTTTTGTTCGTTCTTATTATTTATTTTATTTGCATACCCGAGCGCACTTGTGCACAAGGTTACTATAGCTTTGTTCGCATAACAGGCAAAACGAATCGAAATAGATATAGACAAACGAGAAAGAAATCGAAAAGAGAAATCGATTAAGCGGTGACTGTCTGTCCGTCCGTCCGTCCGTCCGCCTGTCCGTCTGTGTCACTCGATAACTCGAATAAAAATTGAGATATCTTAACGAAACTTGGCACGTGTACTTCTTTCGGGCATAGGACGGATGGTATTGAAAATGAGCGGACGATAACCACGCCTACGCCCCATATAACGGCAGTTTTAAGAAATACTAAAACTGTGATAAATCGGTAACTACTGAAGCTAATTTACAATTTAATTTAATCACAATAACCGTTTAGCACAAAATTAGTTTATTATACATTTTTGGACAATGGGCGTGGCGCCGCCCCCTTATGACCACAAATGTATATCCCGGTATAACTTGGTGCACATAATAACCATAGCACAAGGAAGAGATTAGTTGAAAATTATTCAAATCGGACTAAAATTATACCCACTTCCCGTATAAAGGTATATTTCAGACACCTAAAAAGTCCGATATTTCAATAACTGAAGACGCTAATTTACTCCAAGTTAATAGTTACAACAACAAAAATAAGACTGCTAAAACTTATAGGAATTGGGCGTGGCACTGCCTACTTTATGACTACAAGGTGCATCTNCAAGGTTCGGTTTTTAAGTAAAATTGATTGTTCTAACGGTAACAAGAGATTTGCCGAGATATGCTATTTAATTGTTCTCCCAAATATCCACGGATTTGATTCTCTTACAAAGCACTTGGACCCCTTTTTGGTCTAGTTACAAGACAATTAGCCTCCTGGTTGCTATTTGCAGGCAATCAGTCTTATCTTTCCTATAGTTAAAATAAATATATAGTAAAAATATTTATTGCATGCAAAAAAAAATATTAATTTCGTATGAAAAAGTGGCGAACAAACCAAACTACTTACATAGGTGAGCGGGGCATACAAAAGCAAAAAATATGAAACGAATGCACAAATTCAGCTTAACATACATACATACAAATGTATGAATAATAAGTTTACAAATACTGCGAAGCTTTAAATCATAAATACAGCGCAACAAATGCCAGTTAGTTGAACGCGAAATTTAAGCAGGATATATATATGTCGAAGTTGTTAGTAAGTTAAAAATTTTACTTCTCGTTCTATCCCACCACAGCATGACAGCCATACACATAGTAAAATATAAAAGAATATATAAATAATACACAGCGTAGGATGAGCGCGATTGGCCACATGACAGCTCTCGCACTACCAAAAAAAAAGCGGGGCTTAAAAAGATATGGAATGTTTGTATTATTTTTTGTTTTCGTGGATTTAAAGCGTAAGCAGATAGAGTTGTTTGCAGATGTATGTATGCACACAAGTATGCAGAGAGAGCCTTGTAAGCAGTACAGAGGAGCGTATAGCAGCTACAGAGGTACAGCAGGTGTGCAGGTTCAGCCGTTTAACTCACAAAAAGCTCCACGGAGTTGAACGACGAAAATGCTACATCGATCGTAAGCGGTTGCTAGTCCGTGTTGGCTTTCTTTTTTTTGCTGTATTAAAATGAAGCAAAGCTTTATGTGCTGTGGTTGCGATTAAAATATTAGATATGCTCAAAGGATGTGCGAAGCCGTGATGCGAACTTTTTTTTATCGTAAATATGCAAAACCTAATTTGTTTTTTTTTATTGCATATTTATTTTAATCGCAACAACATGCACTAGTACAAAATATCTATATTAATGGCATATTAAAATAAATAGCAGTTTGAAATAAAAATGTAAGAAGCATTTGAAGCAGTGCAACAGTTAGGTTACCTGGTGATCTGCCGTACAAAAACCCACAGCGTGCCAAAGCGACTTGAGGATGGATATTGGTTAAGGGGGATTTCAAAGGGGTTTTGAAATTTCAGTTTCATATGTATTGTAAATTGTTGGTTGTATATTCTTAAATCTTTACGAATTTATTACCTAACATGTTTTATCCATTTGTTCTTTATTTGTCTAAAAAAAATAAATATGTATTTTTATAAAATAACAACTCAAAATTTAAGAAGCGATTTTAGTACTCAACTCAAAATGAAGTAGTACTTAAAAATTACTAAAGTAAACAAGTTTATTTTAATTATATTTTACGGTAATTTTATTAAATTTTGGTTACATTTTTAATTGTATCCTATTTTTGATAGGTGTGCTAATGATGTGCTTAGATAGACATACATACATATATATGTAGGTGATTAGATGTATTTTTGTGGTAAAAGGCTGTGTTAAATATGTGTGTCTTTCTTGATAATAAGTATGTATGTGTGCTGACATTTAAGTATTGGTTTTTGTTGAATTTATAATTTAAGAAAATTCATCAAAAAAGATATTAGATGTAGGTTAAATATTTTCTTTCGACCCTTCATCTTTGAAATGCCCAGGTTATTCTTTTAGAAATTGCTGTAGCCATATTAGGCTTGTGCTCCTCTGGCTCTCCTGGAAATGGCGTTAGGTTCGACTAGAGGCTGTGGAGAACGGTCAGAGGTTTGACCAAATGCCTAATTTGTGTAAGAGACCCTTCAACCTGCAGTGTCCCGTAACAAAGCCTGTGTAAAATCTTAAATTCTCTTTTGGGCAGGGACCGTAACTGTTTTGTTTTTTTATAAAAAGGGTCTATAAATAATTGTTGTTGAATTTTATTTGTTCCGTAAAATAGAAAAGTTAAATTTTGAATTTTATTTTCGGCCAAAAAGAAAAGTTAAAATTTGACTTTTATTTTTTCGGTCAAAAATAAAAGTAAAGAATTGACTTTTATTTTTTGCACAAATTTAAAAATTTTAAGTTGATTTTTATTTGTTCGGTAAAAAATAAAAGTCAAATTTCAAAGTTAAAATTTATGTTATTTTTTCAGTCAAAGAAAAAATTTAAAATATGACCTTAGTTTTTTTCGATAAAATATAAAAGTTAGAATATTATTGTTTATTTACTTGATTATAACCGTTTAAGGTGAAAACTTTTTATTACGTATAATTTAAAATTTAAAATTTTATTTTTTAACAAAAAAAATAAAGTTAAAATTCAAATGTTTGACGTGAAAATAAAGGCTTCAATTTAACCATGATTTTTGATTGAAAAAAATACGGTAAAAAAATAAGGGGTTTATTGCTGAATTTTTTTAAAAAGTCCAAAGGATAATAATCCCTTAGCTAAGAGCATGACGATGCTATATAGAAAACGTATATAGTTTCTTGTCGTGATTCACCGTTGGGCAAATGTACGTTATTTTGTTGTCCTTTTGGTCAGCTGTATCCTCAAAAAAGGAGAAAGTTAACAAAACGCGATCTTCAGAATGGTGGAGAAGGTACACTTAGTACATCCTCGAGCGTTTTGTACCAGGCAGGCTCACTTATAAATATGTAGATAGAAAGGCTTAGGCAATGACTTAACCCATCAAAATGGCCAGCTAGGGTCCTGTCCATTAATTTTTTCAAGTCCAGATCGGGCCCTGGTCTTTGTCTAGCTTTATTTGGATGTGTGTTTCATGAAAAGTTGGCTCCAAGGCTACCCGCATTTAATTGCCTTCTTATAGAAGTTTATCTTGGCTACGCGCAGAAATCGTTTGAGTACTCTGTTCATTCTTCCTTTTCCGTGAAAATAAAAGGAGGCTAGTATTTTACGGATTTGGAGGTATTCTGCGTATGCGCCAAAGTAAGACCGGTTCCAGGCAGATGAAACTAGTGTAAATATACATATGTGGTGATTTTTAAACGAATTTACTCACGGGCACATACAATATTTTTCGGTATCTTTTTTGATGAATTTTTTTATATCCTGTTTTAATATATTTAACCTTATTTTTATTTGTTTGTGCTTCTAGGGACATACATTTGAATCACGTAATATTTATACTAAGGATCTGTAGAAATGTATAATACTTAATTTTGTGTGAAACTTTTGTTAAAAAAAATCCTTATTTCTCTTATAAAAGCATAATCAAAGTGCTGCTGTTTGTTATGTTCAAGCGGAGAGCACCCTCATACTATACCTTTGACCTGCAATACGGCAGTGTATTTGATTTCCGCAGCCGGATTTTTTGCCACACACGTATATTCGCCGGTATGCGAAGCCGACAGCGAAGGTATGCTCAACAAAGATGAATATTGATCGAGCATTGTGACATTGGCGCCCAATAATTCGGGCAACGGTTCGCCATCCTTGAGCCAGATCAATTTTAGCGGCGGATCACCGCGCGATACACCGCATACTGTGCGCGTGCGCATACCCTCGGCAAGGCCATCTTGAAACACGAACGGTTCTATTATGGGTGGGACTGTAAGTAATACACAAGAATATCGATTATGAAATTTAAATATTCAAAATAATATTTTTATTTTACAAAATAGGCGTTAACATGGACAAAGAACGGGAAACGTAGTAGTATTTCTGAATGGAAGTCAAGATGAACCAGCGTGGAATTACGATGGACCAACGACGTTGAAGAAGACGAAGTGATATTGCGCTTTGTGGAGATTTTCGTAGACACTTGCGAGTGCGTAGCTTTTATGCGTTATTTAGCTGAAAATGTTATATGGCTTCTTATTTTCTACTGTAATTTATTTTTATTTTCCAAAAATATGTAAAATTAAACCTTCGCAGTTTTTATATGATTTTAATACGTATTTTCGATTCTACTATGAGTAACACTACAATTTTTAAGCATTCCAAAGAGGAAATAAAATTTGTAATTTCAAAAATTTTGCAGGTAATATCATTTGCAAATACTTGCATATTTTTTATAATGAATAAAAAATATTTTGCCAACTTATTCGAATTTTTGTTCTTTGTAAATGAATAAAACGCATTCTATGAACATAAAAAATAATCTTCAACAAATTCTGCTGTAAATTACATACAAATTTCTGTTATTACACAAAATGCATTCCCTAATATTAAGAGAAGGAAACATACAAAACGGGCAAAATCAAAAATCGTTCAAAACTACTACTTTAGAATATATGTATATATATATATATATGTATCTCTATATTATTATATCCGTACATAAATACATACATATACGTTTGTTTATATATACGCTGTACAATTACAACAAACGTTGTGAAAATCAAAAACAATTGTACAACAAAAATGGTGTAAAAATATTACAATTGCCGAAAGAACCAAACAAAAATAAAATAAATTAAAAATCTACAGATTTTTTAGGCAGCGTCGCTTTGCACGCTTTACATCGCTACTCCATGTGTTTACCGTTAACCAGCAACGACTGCGAATTCTCCACCTCCGCCGCAGAATTTCGCACCACGCACGAATAGTTGCCCGTATGGTCGGAGCCAAGATTTTCTATTACCAATATGCTATTATACTGATCCACCTGCTTTACGGACATATGCTGTGTCGGGTCGATGGGCCTGTTGTCTTTACGCCAGGTGATGGTTAGTGGTAAGTCACCTTTCACCACCGAGCAGGTTAGTGATGCCCGATCACCCATATTCAGCTGTAGAATAGATGTCTGAAAAGGACTCAATTTTGGAGGTACTGTTGGTGGTCGAAAGGAGTCGGTGTGGTGGGTGTGGCAAAGGAAAAAATCGGAGAAATGGTTGTTTATTTAAGTTGTTGAGGAATAAAATCAACTGTTTTATGCTTATATGTACATATATACATACACCAACGATTCGATAGATATGAATTTTTAATTAAAGTTCAATACATGTTTATATAGTCAAAAATTGCATATAAAACATATATGTATATAATGTAAAAATAATATAAAATAGACTCCAAAGCACTCCTCGACATATAGCATGAATATTTATATACTATATTGTTTTTAAAGCCCCGAAGAACTACCAACTCAAAATACTCGGTACTTGTAGGAAACTTTCTCATCCTTTTAATAAATTTAAAATTTACCTGAGAGAAAATTTCATTTGCATTTTCCACCATACATGTGTATGTACGTATCGTAATTTGTTTTATTAAAACTTTTGGAAAGGTATTTTTCTTCTTGTTACTAATACATCCCAGATAACACAAACAATTTTCTAAAACATTTATTATGGTTTATTAGCGCAAAATTGAAAAGCAAATACTCTCCTAATGAGCTCTAAAAAAATAGTCTATAAAAGTTGTATAAGAGCAAAAGGGCCCCAGAAGGTAGGGCGGCTTCTTCCAAACTGTTGCTCTATTATTAGTTTATAAATTTTATATTGGTTGGTTTATAAGGATTATATGGCAGTCTACAAGATGAGTTTTTAAAACAATGAAAAGTTTTACAAGGCACTTTGTGTAGAGCCTTTGGTCTGACACTGATCACTGTGTGACTGTGTGTCAAAGGCATAATATTAAAAGTATATGTGAAAATATAAACTGAAAGTCAAACATAATACGATATATAAATATTTCTGAACTGAAATATTGTTTGTTCCAGATATATTTTATGATTAAAAATACCAATTAATAATTTATGGATAAAACTTTTTTCATGAAATTCTCGTTTTTTGCCCCCATCTCGTAAATAACAAGCGCGACAGAAAAAATATAAATGACAAACTTGTAGGACATTCAATTTCCTACAAAAACTCTAGAATGAAAGATAGCCCGACTTCAGGATTTGATTAAAGAACGCCCTGTTTCAGAATTTTATTGAAAAACACCCTATCTCAAAATTCGGTTCAAAACCGCCCTATCTCAGTTGAAAATACAATGAAAATGTGCTGAGATAGGGCGTTTTTGAATCAGCAGCTGAGATAGGCCGTTCTTCCATCAAATTCTGAAGTAGGGCGTTCTTGAGAAGTTTTCTAAGATAAGGCGTTTTCGAACTGGCTGCCGAGATAGGTGGGTCTTCCACTCATGTATTCTACTACATCTAAGGCCAGCTACAGTAAATGTGAGATTGTTTTTTACGACTGTTCAAAAAAGCCGTAGCACCTCCTAAAAATAAAATTAATAATGAACGATAAAATAATTATAGGAATCGGTTGAGATTTGAAATATATGCCGCTGTATTGACACAAAGAAAAAAATATTGCACCTTTGCTGCAAGAGTGTCAATTGTGTTTTTTTTTTTGTTTTTGAATTAAGTATGTAGAAATAACCGCAATCTCTTCTTCTATGTTCATTAATTCCATTGCTTTATTTTCTGTAATAGAAAGAGAGAAAGAGAGACTGTGATATATGAGTCCGAAAAACTTGAAATGCTGGATGAGCGAAATAACCTGAAAATTATATTATAAAGTTTGGGGAATTACCGAAGATTTGAAGACAAGTGTTGATTACCTCGAGAGAGTGTTCGCTTATGAAGCTTGGGACATCGCAGAGAGGAGTATTTTTGGTATGAACTTCGATAAAAGTGTCTTTAAATATATTATTACTCAAGCTATATAATCCATCTATCAACTGTAGTCATAAAAGTCGTTACCGCTACTTGAACTTTGGCGTACGTCACATAGAACATAGCCATTATCGGGATGGGTTTTGAGGACCAATCTTAAAAAAAATATTAAATATGAAAAAATAAAGCATGTACTATAACTTTGAGTCGTGCTTTCATGATTTGTTTTGTATAGTAGTATATTCTTTAGAATCCATTGAAATTATGCATATTAAGATATTTGTGAGAAGGTGCCAAGTCAACTTTTTTCAAAATTTAGTTTTTGTTGCAGAATGGCAGGTGATAGGATACTACATCGATTTTTCTTCTCTCCTGCAGAATTAAAAAAAATGGGCTTGACACCTTTTCACCCTTAGGTGACGATTTATTTTTAGCAAGCAAGAGCAATGCCTTTTTCTGAAAAAGCGTTTATGTGCACCTATGTTAACTGGTGCAAAACAATATCAGGAAAATGATCCTAAGAAAAGTATAATTAGTATTTTTTCTCCTAAATATAAACCCCTACTTATGGTAAAGTTCCGGTTCGAATCGCAGCTGGTTAAATTTCGAGTATAAAGGGGACATAGAACATGCTCGAACAAAAGCGAATAGCTCAGTCCATATAAAGAGATAAAAGGTGGCATTAGTTCCGTGGCTGATTTAACGGTCAGAAAAAGAAGCAATGCTGACTGGGCCCCCCAACAGAACGGACCCAGTGCTCTCTCTAGAAACTAGCTTAAGTGTAAAATCAGGAAATTTGCTCAGAAAATGTTTTTCGTTTGTGCATTAATCTGCCACACTAACGATGAAAGGTACATACTTATATGTACATAAATGTGAAATTTGTAGTCAAACGTTTTTTAGACAAGGGAATTTTGTTGACAAACATACATCGAGCTAAAGTTGTTTCGGATAATTTTCCGGGTATTTTGCTGGCTGGGTTGCATGCTTTCATAAGATTATGGACCTCCAGTTTACTCTTTCATCTAATTAACCTCTTTGAATGCAAGCAGTTTGTCTGCTATGCCTGCCATGCTATTCACAATCTAACTGATTGCTATACTTTTACCTTTTCTCCAGATGAAAGGCTTAATTTGTAGGTCATCTCGTTAGTGTTAATTAATGTACGAATTAGATGCTATAAGCATGAAACGAAAATACTTCCTTAGAGAATACAATTTTTTGATGCTGAGTCGCACGTTTAGCAATTCGAAAGCTGACTAATTTTAAATGCTAATGCTGAAAGTGTTTTATACGATCAGCTGCAAAGTCAGCTTTTGCTAGCTTTTGTGATTTCATTTGCATTATCTGAATTTAAACAAAATTTGCGCTATGCACACATATGTATGTAGTATAATGCGCGTAGGAATTTACATACATAGATATATAAATACTTATCAATGTAGCCGGGAGATCAGAATGCAGCGATATTTGGCTTGTTTGTCAGCCTCGAATAAGACATATACAATTTTCTAGTTGATTACTTACTGTTTAGCCGAGGACAAGCGGAAGAGGTGGGATCAAGTTAGTGGAGTAGGGAGGTATGTTACTCTTGTTACGAGTATTTATGTATCGAGCTCAATTTAAGAAGTCGTGCGAGAACAAATCGCTTTGCTTAAACCCTCGTTTGGTCTCCAATGGCTCAGACGGATCCCAAAATAAGACGCGGCATCATACAGACAGCTTCTCTTCGTAATGTCAAAAGCGGTTTAAAATCAGCGGAATCCTGCATAGTTCCTAAAATGCTATTGCGCAGCCGATAGTAAATTTAGCCTATACCAAAATAATAAGAAATTTAGGATTGGCCAACTACATGCAAAGAAAACTTTAATTAAGTGAGTGCCTTATTCTCAGATCTCTTAAACCCGAAATTCCTCTGTATCTCAAAAAATTTTCCACTCTCTTAAATTTCTGTAAACTTGTATTCTTGTCGACGAAAC